TTCACCCTGAACATACACAGCTGATAAATGTCACCTGAACATCATGTTCCATTGCTATAGACAAACTGAACTATAAATATATTTTAAACAGGGTTTTTACACACCCTTCATAATAATAATCAATACCTCACCCACAGGATCCCATGTGGGAATTAATGACTGGGTGAAGTAAAAGACTTGAGGGCAGCTTGAGCCATTAATTCTTCCCAAATGATCATTAATCCCAAAGGAAGACTAAACTGCTCAATTGTTACTGCCAGAACTTTGCAGCTGCTGATTAAAGTATTAACATATAAATGGCTCCTCATCTGTTTCTTGTTGATTTGTGAGTGAGGCTTATGAAGTTAGACATTAATATTACTTGGTTCAACAACTTACATGTGCCAACCTCCCAAGCTCTTTCTGAAAAAAGGAGCTGCTCAATATGGGCACACTGACCCACCATTTCTGGTTTTAAGCAAATAACTGTTTTATTGTACTGTCAATTTGCCATATGCTTGGCTGGGTTTTGAACCTAGATTTGATCAGCATTCTCCTTTGGATAATCCTCTGAGAACTGCAAAACAGATGTTCCCTATCAAAGTGATCTGCTGACCTCACAATTAAGACTTGATGCCTAGAATATCTGCGCTGCAGGTAGACATTTACAATAACATTCCCCTTCACTACTGTTCCCAAACCTATTTATTTGCATTATTCCAATTATAGTTATTGTTTATATATGCTTCCCCTTGCCAGCTGGTGTGGAGCTTCAGGCTTGGGTGCCACCAGTACGCTGATGACACCCAGCTGTGTTATTGGATGGCCACCCGGATACCGCCCCACAGAATTTGGCCACAGGTCTGGAGGCTGTGGTTGGGTGGTTGAAACAGAGCAGGTTGAGACTGAATCCAACTAAGATGGAGGTTCTGTGGCTGGGAAGGAGCTTCAGAACTGGGGCATAGGCTTCCCACTCTTGAAAGGGTGTCATTAACACCAGTGCAGTCTGACAAGAGTTTGGGGGTGATCTTGAATGCTTCCTTGAATATGGAAGCCCAAGTCATGCATATTGCCCGGCTGACATTTTTCCATCTGCGCCAGACTTGGCAACTGGTGCCTTTCCTATCGCACCCTGACCTGCCCATGATAATCCAGTGTAACAGTTACCTCCAGGCTAGACTACTGTAACTTGCTCTATGCTGGCCTGCCCATGAGACTAACCCAAAAGCTCCAGCTAATCCAGAATGTGGCAGCACGAGTCCTGACGGGAATATCATGGATGGAACATATGCAACTAGTGCTGTGCCAGCTACATTGGCTTCCAGTGAAGTACTGAGTCAAGTTCAAGGTTTTAGTATTGACCTTCAAGGCCTTGAGCAGTCAGGGACCAATGTATCTATGAGACTGTCTCCTCCATTATGTTCCTGGGAGAGCATTATGCTCCTTGGACAGCAATTTGCTGGTGGTCCCTGGCCCCAAAAACATCTGTCCTCGACCAGGGCCCTGCAGGATCTTATGCAGTTCTGCAGGGCCTGTAAGGCAGAGATGTTCTGCCAGGCTTTGGGTTGAGGATAGCAACAGTTACCATCTTGGCTGGCACCTTCTTCTGCTCTTTCTACTCACCCTGCCTCTCTTCCCCACCAACACCCGCAAAGTGGTCAGCAGTCTGTAATCGGAAATAACTGGAATTCGCCATCTGAGTCTTTTAGATTAGTGGTATTAATATTATTCAGATGTTTTCTTCTATGTTTGAATGTTTTTATCATTACTGTATTGCCCAGAGCCCTGCAGTAGCAGGGACTGGGCGTTCCATAAGTCCAATAAATAATAATAACAATAACAATAATAAATTATTTGCATATCACCTCTCCATTAATAATTTCTACTAATTCCTTAGCCTCCACTAATTCCTTAAAATATAAAATAACACCAACTCTAAAATAAGAATCAACCAGCACTAAAAAAAAAAGTAAAATGACAAAACAAAACAGCAAATAAAGACAAGCTATCCATAAAATCACAATGCACCAAACCAGGAGTACACATTAGTTAAAAGTCCCCTTGAAAAGTATTTGCCTGGCACCACCACCTAAAAAAATCCTAGACAAGATTCCAGATGCAGTGAAAGGGTGAAGGTATTCCAAAGGCAAGAAGAAAACACTGAGAAGGACCAATCCCTTCTGGCAATCCCCCTCAACAGTGAGGACAAGGGCATGCAGAGGGCATGTCCAAGAAAGGTCCCCTGAAGCTTAACTCGCGTGCTCGGGCAAGCCTATATACGACTGATTGATCCTTAAAGCACTCTGGCTCCAAGACAAGCAACCATTATAGATCTATTACACTTCCTAACCTTCAGATTCTTAGAATGCCCTGGGTTAGTGCCTCCTGAGTGTTTCCCAGTCCCATTACCCTGTCAGAGATTTTAACTTTAAATCACTGTTTAGTATGTTTTGACCCAGTAGGCTTGAAAGTTTGCTTCTAGATTCTTGTGTAAATCTGCAAACATGCAGTTTCACTATTCTAGCTAACTTTTTCACTGTTCTAGCCTTGAAATATAACTTATGAATAAATGGCTCCATGCCCAGAATAAATCAAAGAATAAATGAAACAGAATTTACAATAATTATTTTCTGAGAAACTCAGTGGTGTCTTACATCATGCCTTTATGGGCACAAATCAGAAGATTTGTCTATGTAACAGCATATACCCTTGGGGCTATCCTTGAAGAGCATTCAGAAGCTGCAGCTAGTGCAGAATGCTGCAGCTAGACTCCTGGTCAGGGCCAGCTACCAGTGTCCCCAACACTACAGCATTTTCACTGATTAGCAATCTGCTCCCAAGTCCAATTCAAGGTGTTGCTTATGTCCTTTGAAGCCCTGCGTGGTTTGGGACTGAGGTATTTTCATCACTTTATGATGACGTGTGCTTGCACACAAAAGCTTATACCCAGAATTAAACTTTGTTGGTCTTAAATGTGCCACTGGGCTTAAACTTTGTTATGTAATTCAGTGAAATCTGCTTCTTTTCCATTTTGGCAATGTCCTGGTTAATAAGTTTTGAAACACAAGCTTTTTTCCTCCCTAAAAGTCAACTTAGGAAGAAGAGGATGTATGCTTAACGTAAGATTGATTTCTATGCAGCATGCCAGTGTTCTGTGTATCTATTTAATCTTTTGTTTAATGGAATCTAGAGTGATCAGATATTTTTTTTAAAAAAGAAAGTTTTAAATACTACGTTGACTCTTTTGGCTGGGAAACACAGGGTTTCACTTTGAACCTGGAACAAACAAATGAACAGACTTCAATATCTCCCTTAGAGATTGAGGGCAGTATCCTGCAAAGATCAAATGTTGTAAAGGAATAATCAGTCATCAAACAGGATTGTGATTTAGCAGTTAATACATTGCTTCAATTCAGTCCAAGAGGTTTTACTCTCCATGTGGCTGTTTAAAGTAATGCCCCAATACAGGTGGCTCCCAGTAATCACCACAACCCCATCTACCTGCTTGCCTTTGCAGTCCTGCTTTTCATGGATCTGTTCCTCTAACCTATTTCATATCTCCTTCAATCTTTGCCATTCAGAAGTTCGTGCTATCTGTTCTTGTCTCTGTGTGCCTTCTCATAGTTTGTCCTCTTAACCACTTGCATCTTTCATGGTCTCAGTCTAACTTGATTCAGAAACCCTGATCTGTTTCAGAAATTCCTGTAAATCCATGCTTACAATCAGCTCCCCTTCCTGTGCTGTGAAGCAGTGCTTATTACGATGCCATTGCATTAACATTCAACAGGACTAGACTTCTCAAAAGCTTGAGCATGAGAACTGATAATAAGAGCAACAGAACAGCTGGCATTCCAGAGCGAGTAATTTTAAAAACTTAATGTTTAATATCACTTTCAGTGAGCAAGTTTTGCAGTGGCACCAAAGTTCTGGTGACATTTCTTCCCCATCACATCTTAAAGAATGGTGACATCAGAAAGTGTTTTCTTTTTTGGTGGAGGGGTTGATAGCTGTTATTCTGTTCCTCCCTTTACTGCACATGGAGGAAAATGCCCCAAATCATGATTTACGGAGGCAGTGCATCTTATGGTCAGTGAAGTAACAGATTTAAATAAATACATGATTTCTTAGTTTAAGTGTAGCCCGACTGCCAGTGAGGGGTGGGGCAGGAAGTGTAACCACCTTCACGTACTTGAATAGCTGTCATATACAGGACAGTGCGAAGTTGTTTCTGTTGCCCCAGAAGGCTGGACCAGAACCAATGGGTTGAAATTAAATCAAAAGAGTTTTCGGCTAAACATTAGGAAGAACTTCCTAACAGAGTGGTTCCTCAGTGGAATGGGCTTCCTCGGGAGGTGGTGGGCTCTCCTCCTTTGGAGGTTTTGAAACAAAGGCTAGATGGCCATCTGACAGCAATGCTGATTCTATGAACTTCGGCAGATCATGAGAGGGAGGGCAGGAAGGGTTGCCTCAGTGCTTAGTTCTCGCAGCCCTTTCTTAGCAGCCGAGGGAAATGCCTATCACCACTTTGGGGTCAGGAAGCAATTTTCTCTAGGCCCGTATGGCCAGGAATCCTGGAGGTTTTTTTGTTTTGTTTTTTGTTTTTGTTTTTTTGGCCATCTTCTGGGCATGGAGCAGGGTCACTGGGGGTGGGAGAGGAGGTTGTTGTGAATTTCCTACATTGTGCAGGGGGCGGACTAGATGACCCTGGATGTACCTTCCAACTCTGCGATTCTAAGTCTGAAACTGCCCATCCACTCTCGCATTGTGCAATGGTGTAGGGCGGGATTGAATATGAATGGATTCTTTGTCTCAAGGCCATTCTACACACTGCATGGTAGCAAATATGTAAGCAAAATGTTTAGTATCCTACAAGCAACAAAGACAAGCAACTAATCTGGGCTCCTTGATTCATGTTCCTTCATGAAACTGGTTACACTTTGATATTTACACATAAAATGCTTTGCATGTTCAGGCTAAGAGTGCAATGTACTAGACAGCCCCTACTTCTTATTACATCTTACCTAATGCTGGCAGATTTTGCTTTCAAGTCATTCCAGCGCTGGTTCATGTCATCAATACGGTGTTGTAGCAGTGCAGCCTCTTCAGAGTTTCCCAAGGCTTTCACCATCTTCTGCCTATTTCCATCAATGCTCTTGAAAATGTCATTGTGAGCATCAATTTCAGCCTGGATATCCTAGAAAGACAAAAGCAAACATTATGCCCCATTGCGTTTGTCTGAAGTCAATTTTAGGGTACAAAATATTTAACCCACCCCCACCCCATTGTACAAATATCTATTGGCTAGTGATCAGATATATACTATATCTATAGGAACACCCTTTCCAGTGTTCTCTGCTGTGACAGTTTTGTGCATCTGAGTAAGGCATTTTGAAGGTGCCATCCTGCAAAGAGGTAAGATCAGTAACTGCCTATATTCCAGCATTCTCTGGCATGGGCCCAGCTGGTGAAATATCCTACCTGAGGTTCCCACACTAATATTGTTCCACAGAACATGCAAAATGGGACTTTACAGGAGAGCAATTTGTATGTCTGTCTGTCTGTCATGGAATTAGGGCTTTATTGGGTTTCAGTCCTCTGCTAAAACTCTGCAAAACCTCTGGTATGTGTATAATGCTTTAATATATATAGTAATTACCCTATATAGTTGAAACTCTGGTTTTGTTCTGTTCCCAGGAAGATTCAGGACACTGCTATGTGCTGTGTGTGGCCTTCACTGGACAAGACTTTGCCTCATGTGACTTTTGCTTATTGGGAATATTTATATTTTACAGCAGTCAGAAGTCAAGAACAAATTTTAAATAGATAAGAGTATCAGAAACAATATTATATATGTAAATAAATACAGACAAGTGTGTATATTGAAAAGTTATATTTCCACTACCCATCCTTCAAAATAATGTATGTATAAAATAAAGGTGCTGATATTACAATTATATTTTTTAAAATGTAATTTTATTTGGTATATAACAAAGACAGGCTAAATTAAAGATTTCCAAACTTGTTGTGTCTGTGGGAACTTTTAGAATTCTGAGAACAGAGAATGTGCACCACCACAAAATGACTGCCATTAAAAGCTGGGGCCAATCAGAAAAAGGATGCAATAGGGTCCTGTGACCGATCAATCAAAAGGTTGGGAAGTTATAAACCAAATATTTTTCCACTATGAAGCCCACTGCTTCTGGGTCCTCAAGCTCCAGTGAGGTGGAGGAAAGAAAGTACTGGCTCTTCCCTTTTAGGGAAGAAGTAAATGGGCATCAGGAATCTGTGGACATCATGGTGCCAACCAGGGGTCTTTTCGTAGAAAAAGAGAGGCAGGAGCTCATTGGCATATGGTATGCTAATGAGCTACTAGGCTAGCTTCTGGGTCCTCAAGCTCCAGTGAGGTGGAGGAAAGAAAGTACTGGCTCTTCCCTTTTAGGGAAGAAGTAAATGGGCATCAGGAATCTGTGGACATCATGGTGCCAACCAGAAAAAGGATGCAATAGGGACCTGTGACCGATCAATCAAAAGGTTGGGAAGTTATAAGCCAAATATTTTTCCACTATGAAGCCCACAACTTCTGGGTCCTCAAGCTCCAGTGAGGTGGAGGAAAGAAAGGAGGAGGCATCCTCAAAAGCCTCCCCTTCCGTTTCCCAGCTGGCCTGCAAGGGGGGGGGAAGCGAAGGGGGGGTTTAAACTTTAAACCCCTTCTTCACTA